GTTTTTTCGGAATTAAAAAGACTTTTGGGGACCCCTAATAGTGTCTTTTTTTTGAAGAATTTAACAGAAACTCGGGAGCTCTTACTGTCTTTTCTTTCAGAATGCCAAAGACTATCGGGAAACGTTAGTGTTTTTCTTTTAGAATTTAAAAAAGACCCTCGAGTACCACCAGTTTTATTTTATGAAAGAATCTCTAAGACTCATAGTGGCGTTTTACTGGAAGAATTTAAAAGACTCTCGGGGACCCCAAGTGCCTTTTTCAAAAAGCAAAAGAACCTAGGGAGATTCTAGTGTCTTTTTTTGGCAGAATTTAAAAAATCTCTGGAGTCTTCAGTGTGTTTTTTCGGAATTAGAAAGACTTTCGGGGACCCCTAATAGTGTCTTTTTTTTTGAAGAATTTAACAGAAACTCGGGAGCCCTTACTGTGTTTTTTTTCAGAATGTCAAAGACTATCGGGAAACCCTAGTGTCTTTTTTTCGAAATGAGAAACACTCTCGGGGATCCCAAGTTTTTTTATTTTTTAATATGAAAAATCTCGGAGACTCATAGTGTCTTTTCTTTGGAAGAATTTGAAAGAGGCTCGGGGGCTCTTAGTGTCTTTTTTCAACAATGCTAAATAATTTCGAAGGCCCCTAATATCTTTGTTTTGAAAGAATTAAAAAAAATTAAGCTCAAGAGTCTTTAGTGTCCATTTTTTAGCATTTTTGAAGAACTTCGATGTCTTTATTGTCTTTTTTTTTTTCGGGATATGAAAGACTCGAGGACCCCGAGTGTCTTTTTCAAAATGCAAAAGAATCTCTAGTATCTTTTTTTTTGGCAGAATTTAAAAAATCTCGCAAGTCTTTAGTGTGTTTTTTCCGAATTAGAAAGACTCTCGGGGACCTCTAATGGTCTCTTTTTTTGAAGAATTTAATAAAAACTCGGGAGCCCTTACTGTGTTTTTTTCAGAATGTCAAAGACTATCGGGAAACCCTAGTGTCTTTTTTTCGCGATGAGAAACACTCTCGGGGACCCCAAGTTTTTTATTTTTTAATATGAAAAATCTCGGAGACTCATAGTGTCTTTTCTTTGGAATTATTTGAAAGAGGCTCGGGGGCTCTTAGTGTCTTTTTTCAACATTGCTAAATAATTTCGAAGGCCCCTAATATCTTTGTTTTGAAAGAATTTAAAAAAATGAAGCTCAAGAGTCTTTAGTGTCCATTTTTTAGCATTTTTGAAGAACTTCGATGTCTTTATTGTCTTTTTTTTTCGGGATATGAAAGACACGAGGACCCCGAGTGTCTTTTTCAAAATACAAAAGAATCTCTAGTATCTTTCTTTTTGGCAGAATTTAAAAAGTCTCAGAAATCTTTAGTGTGTTTTTTCCGAATTAGAAAGACTCTCGGGGACCTCTAATAGTCTCTTTTTTTGAAGAATTTAATAGAAACTCGGGAGCCCTTACTGTGTTTTTTTCAGAATGTCGAAGACTATCGGGAAACCGTAGTTCCTTTTTTCGAGTTGAGAAACATTCTCGGGGACCCCTAGTTTTTTTTTAAATATGAAAAATCCTAGAGACTCATAGTGTCTTTTCTTTGGAAGAATTTGAAAGAGGCTCGGGGGCTCTTAGTGTCTTTTTTCAACATTGCTAAATAATTTCGAAGGCCCCTAATATCTTTGTTTTGAAAGAATTTAAAAAAATGAAGCTCAAGAGTCTTTAGTGTCCATTTTTTAGCATTTTTGAAGAACTTCGATGTCTTTATTGTCTTTTTTTTTTCGGGATATGAAAGACTCGAGGACCCCGAGTGTCTTTGTCAAAATGCAAAAGAATCTCTAGTATCTTTTTTTTTTGGCAGAATTTGAAAAATCTCGGAAGTCTTTAGTGTGTTTTTTCGGAATTAGAAAGACTCTTGGGGACCTCTAATAGTCTCTTTTTTTGAAGAATTTAATAGAAACTCGGGAGCCCTTACTGTGTTTTTTTCAGAATGTCGAAGACTATCGGGAAACCGTAGTTCCTTTTTTTCGAGTTGAGAAACATTCTCGGGGACCCCTAGTTTTTTTTTTAAATATGAAAAATCCTAGAGACTCATAGTGTCTTTTCTTTGGAAGAATTTGAAAGAGGCTCGGGGGCTCTTAGTGTCTTTTTTCAACATTGCTAAATAATTTCGAAGGCCCCTAATATCTTTGTTTTGAAAGAATTTAAAAAAATGAAGCTCAAGAGTCTTTAGTGTCCATTTTTTAGCATTTTTGAAGAACTTCGATGTCTTTATTGTCTTTTTTTTTCGGGATATGAAAGACTCGAGGACCCCGAGTATCTTTTTTAAAATTCAAAAGAATCTCTAGTATCCTTTTTTTTGGCAGAATTTAAAAAATCTCGGAAGTCTTTAGTGTGTTTTTTCCGAATTAGAAAGACTCTTGGGGACCTCTAATAGTCTCTTTTTTTGAAGAATTTAATAGAAACTCGGGAGCCCTTACTGTGTTTTTTTCAGTATGTCAAAGACTATCGGGAAACCGTAGTTCCTTTTTTTCGAGTTGAGAAACATTGTCGGGGACCCCTAGTTTTTTTTTTAATATAAAAAATCCTGGAGATTCATTGTGTCTTTTCTTTGGAAGAATTTGAAGGAGTCTCGGGGGCTCTTAGTGTCTTTTTTCAACAATGCTAAATAATTTCGAAGGCCCCTAATATCTTTGTTTTAAAAGAATTTAAAAAAATGAAGCTCAAGAGTCTTTAGTGTCAATTTTTTAGCATTTTTGAAGAACTTCGATGTCTTTATTGTCTTTTTTTTTCGGGATATGAAAGACTCGAGGACCCCGAGTGTCTTTTTCAAAATGCAAAAGAATCTCTAGTATCTTTTTTTTTGGCAGAACTTAAAAAATCTCGGAAGTCTTTAGTGTGTTTTTTCGGAATTAGAAAGACTCTAGGGGACCTCTAAAAGTCTCTTTTTTTGAAGAATTTAATAGAAACTCGGGAGCCCTTACTGTGTTTTTTTCAGAATGTCAAAGACTATCGGGAAACCATAGTTCCTTTTTTTCGAGTTGAGAAACATTCTCGGGGACCCCTAGTTTTTTTTTAAATATGAAAAATCCTGGAGATTCATAGTGTCTTTTCTTTGGAAGAATTTGAAGGAGTCTCGGGGGCCCTTAGTGTCTTTTTTCAAGAATGCAAAAGAATTTCGGGAACCCCTAATAAATTTATTTTGAAAGAATTTAAAAAAATAAACCTCAAGAGTCTCTAGTGTCCATTTTTAGCATTTTTAAAGAATCTCGATGTCCTTATTGTCTTTTTGGTCTGGATATGAAAGACTCGAGGACTCCAAGTGTCTTTTTCAAAATGCAAAATAATCTCTAGTATCTTTCTTTGGCAGAATTTAAAAAATCTCGGGAGTCTTTAGTGTGTTTTTTCGGAATCAGAAAGACTCTCGGGGACCCCCAATAGTCTCTTTTTTTGAAGAATTTAATAGAAATTCGGGAGCCCTTACTGTTTTTTTTAATGCGTATTTTTTCTTTTGGAAAAATTAATAAATACTCGGGGGCCCTTGGCATATTTTTTTTTTTTGAAGAATTTAAAAAAGTCCGGGGCTGGGGGCCTGTAGTGTCTTTTTTCTGGATGAGAAAGACTCTCGGAGAGCCCTAGTTTCTTTTTTTTTTTTTAATATGAAAGAATTTCGAAGAGCCATAGTGTCGAGCTCTTACTGTCTTTTTTCAGAATGCCAGAGACTATCGGGAAACCTTAGCGTCTTTTTTTGGAATAATTTTAAAAAAGTCCGGGGCCAGGGGCCGGTAGTGTCTTTTTTTGAGAAAGACTCTCGGGGACCCCTAGCTTCCTTTTTTTTAGTACTTGCTAAGATAAAACTTATTTTGGCAAATGCCATACCCTGTAAGAAAACAGAGGGTGGGTGGGCGGGGCTAGTCCTTGCTAAGATAAGATTAATTTTGGCAAATGACATATCCTCTGAGAAAATAGGGGGCAAATATGAAAAATATGAATGCAATGTTAAATCACGAGTAAAAACTCATCATATTTTGCACATTTTGGGGTAGAATTTATTCGGCAAAATTTTGAGATAACGTCATCAATTTTTTGGGAGGAATAAATAGATTTATTTTGAATTTACCATGCTTACAATGACTTTAAGACGTCTTCAAGATTTCAACGCACTCAGTTTTGCAATTCTTGATTTATTCAATAAAATAAATTTACGCATTCATTAATTTTTTTTGAGTCAGCCTGTACAAGCAAATCCAAAAAATAGTTATGATTGGAACGATGAAATTTTGAGCTGACGTCGTCAATTTTTTAGAGGGGATAGGCCAATACATTTTGAATAAAAATGTATTATGCTTATCATAACAATACTGACTTTAAAGAAAATAAAAAATACCGAAAAGAGACAATCCCAATCATGGAATTGTGCTTTTTCTAGGCCTAGCGGTTTATTTTTTTCTGTCGAAACTACTTCAGACCAATTTTTTTCTAAATCGTTATTGAAATGGCAAAAGAATTGTAGTTGGCGCCGAAATTGCAACCACACAAACACAAAGCTGCCGTTTTTAACAACAAATCGAAAAATCAATAAATCATCTTGCGCTAATCCACTGAACTAGAAATCCGCGATGACCCAATCCTCCGCTCACCACAATCTACAATCTATTCGTGGTACCATCAACAACAGCTTCAGATCCCGTCTAAATACGGCTACCACTCGTCATTCACGTACTTTACGCGCATTATTCCGTACGTGTCACCCCGTCGGAACGACCAGGGCGGTACCACCTCATCTGTACTCTCTTCACATACGCAATTTCGTAATTTCTTACAAAACGCCGCACTTTTATTCATATTCATGAATAAACCCATTGTGAAACGAAAACAAAGTAATTGCGCGAATGATGACACGGAATCGGGAACGTGGTACTTTCTGGACAGCGACTATAATATATTTGCACTGTTTCGACACGTGACATTAACGGGTTTCGCAAGAGGGAGATTTGTCGGTACCATAAAAGTTTATTGGTAACCCTGACCTTGACAGCTAACAAACAAAAACATATTTTATTCACAGCCTGCTCAACAAAGCGAGAGAAGAAAATTCTTCATTTTTCACTAGCCAGTGCTTCTTCGTACGTCGGCAAAGAGTCGTTTTCTTGCGGGTAGAATTCGATGGTATTGTAATCGGGCGGCGGGGTGGGCTGGGGGGAGCGCGAGGTGCTGCTGCCATGCGAAAAACTGCCTAAAATTAAATAGACAGTGAATTGGCAAAGACGTGGTCGGAAAAAAGTTACCTGCGGGGTTCCTCAGCGGAAAAATGTCCCTCAAAGCGTGGTCATGGGCTCGACCACTGGGTGCTCGACTGCTGGGTGGTCGAGCACTGGGTACCAACGATCGGCCCTCTCGTCGTCTATAAGCCGTCCACGCGTTTATCATAGCGTTGCAACAAATGTACCAAAAGAAGCAGCAGACAATTATGGCAGCTAAAGCGAACCCCAAGAAGATGAAAAAAAGTCCTATTCTGAAAAATATAACTATATTGGGGCGACTATTCGGGGCGGGGAATTTACATAACGATACTCATTTGGTTTTACCTCCTCGGCGTGACGTCATCGAGACATAGTGGCGCCAAAATGTCTGCGGAACTGAAAATTCGAATTAACACTTTTCCACATTTTTGGGGTGAAATGAGGAGGTGAAAAGTACGTACGTGCAACCACTGGGGGGGAATTCACTCTATTTCTAGTGGAAATTAGTGAAATTTTGAGCAACGGAAGCATGTGGACAGAATTATTGATTTCGGGGATGACAGAGGCGATCTTGCGCACATTTTTCTGAAGTGTGTCGCTGAAAACGTGGTTTTGTGGTGAAAAATGTTTGTTTCAGAGTGTGAACAAGAAAAATGAAAAATTTATATATACTTAAATCGAAAAATTCGAAAATTGAAGAATCGAAAAATTGAGAAATTGAAAAACTAAAACATCGAGTAATCAAAAGAACAAAAGATCAAGAAAACGAAAGAGGAGAAGTTGAAAAATCGAAATATTGAGAAAACGAAAAATTGAATTTTTTTAAAAAATCGAAATATTAGAAATTTAAAAAAATCGAAAAATCAAAAATTTTAAAAATCGAAAAATTGAGAAGTTGAAGACTTGAAAAATCGAAAAATCTATAAGTCGAAAAATCCAAAAATTTTTTAAATCGAAAAAACGAGTTGTCAAGAAATCAAAAATTCGAAAATCGAGAAATTATATATTCAAAAGCTAAAAACACGGAAAATCTAAACATGAAAAAATCGTAAACTGAAGAATTTTAAAAACGAGAAATCGGTAAATAGGAAAATCCAGAATTTAAAAAAATTCTGGATTTTTCGGAAATTCGAGAAAAAGTTGAAAAATAAAAAAAAAAACAAGAAACCCAAGCATCGAGAAATTGAAAAACCTGAAATGCCAAGAAATCGAAAATTCGAAAAATCGAAAAATTATACACCGAAAAATTAAAAAATCGGGAAATCGAAAATTTAAAAAATCGAAAAATTGAAGAATCGAAAAATCGAGAAATTGAAACATCGAAAAACTGAAAAAATAAAACATCGAGTAATCAGAACAACAAAAGATCGAGAAATCCAGAAATCGAAGGAGAAGCTGAAAAATTAAAACACTGAGAAAGCGAAAAGTAGAAAAAAATTTTAAAAATCGAAAAATCCAAAAATTTTAAAAATCCCAAAATCGAGTTGTCAAGGAATCAAAAATTCGAAAAATCGAGAAATTTAAAAAATCGGGAAATCGAACCATCAAAAAATCGTAAAATCAAAACATCGAAAAAAGCAAAATTAAAAGACCGAAAAATTAAAAAATCAAAACCTGAAGAATTTTAAAAACGACAAATTGGTAAATCAAAAAATACAGAATTAAAAAAAATTGAAAAACCGAAAAAGTGAAAAACCGAAAATTCGAGAAAAAGTTGAAAAATAAAAAAAAAACAAGAAACCCAAACATCGAGAAATTGAAAAACCTGAAATGGCAAGAAATCGAAAAACTCGAAAAATCGAGAAATTGAAAAACTAAAACATTGAGTAATCAGAACAACAAGATATCGAGAAATCGAGATATCGAAAGAGAAGCTGAAAAATTAAAACACTGAGAAAGCGAAAAGTAGTTGTCAAGAAATCAAAAATTCGAAAATCGAGAAATTATATATTCAAAAGCTAAAAAATCGGGAAATCCAAACTTCAAAAAATCAAAAACTGAAGAATTTTAAAAACGAAAAACCGGTAAATAGAAAAATCCAGAATTTAAAAAAAATTGAAAAATCGAAAAAGTGAAAAACCGAAAATTCGAAAAAAATTGAAAAATAAAAAAAAAAGATACCCACACATCGAGAAATTGAAAAATCTGAAATGTCAAGAAATCGAAAATTCGAAAAATCGAAAAATTATACACTGAAAAATTGAAAAAAAGGAAATAGAAAATTTAAAAAATCGAAAAATCGAGAAATTGAAAAACAAAAACATCGAGTAATCAGAACAACAAAAGATCGAGAAATCGAGAAATCGAAGGAGAAGCTGAAAAATTAAAACACTGAGAAAGCGAAAAGTAGAAAAAAATTTAAAAATCGAAAAATTGAAAAATCCACAATTTTTAAAAATGCCAAAATCGAGTTGTCAAGAAATTGAAAATTCGAAAAATCGAGAAATTTAAAAAATCGGGAAATCGAACTATCAAAAAATCGTAAAATCAAAACATCGAAAAAAGTAAAATTAAAAGACCGAAAAATTAAAAAATCAAAAAATGAAGAAATTTAAAAACGACAAATTGGTAAATCAAAAATTACAGAATTTAAAAAACTTGAAAAATCGAAAAAGCGAAAAACTGGAAATTCGAAAAAAAGTTGAAAAATAAAATAAAAACAAGAAACCCAAACTTCGAGAAATTGAAAAACCTGAAATGTCAAGAAATCGAAAATTCGAAAAATCGAAAAATTGAAGAATTTTAAAAACGAAAAACCGGTAAATAGAAAAATCCAGAATTTAAAAAAATTGAAAAATCGAAAAAGTGAAAAACCGAAAATTCGAAAAAAAATTGAAAAATAAAAAGAAAGAAGAAATCCACACATAGAGAAATTGAAAAATCTGAAATGTCAAGAAATCGAAAATTCGAAAAATCGAAAAATTATACACTGAAAAATTGAAAATAAGGAAATAGAAAATTTAAAAAATCGAAAAATTGAAAAATCGAAAAATCGAGAGATTGAAAAACTAAAACATCGAGTAATCAGAACAACAAAAGATCGAAAAATCGAAAAATCGAAGGAGAAGCTGAAAAATTAAAACACTGAAAAGGCGAAAAGTAGAAAAAAATTTAAAAATCGAAAAATCCAAAAATCCACAATTTTTAAAAATGCCAAAATCGAGTTGTCAAGAAATTGAAAATTCGAAAAATCGAGAAATTTAAAAAATCGGGAAATCGAACTATCAAAAAATCGTAAAATCAAAACATCGAAAAAAGTAAAATTAAAAGACCGAAAAATTAAAAAATCAAAAACTGAAGAATTTTAAAAACGAGAAATTGGTAAATAAAAAAATTCAGAATTAAAAAAAATTTTCAAAAATCGGAAAAGTGAAAAACCGGAAATTCGAAAAAAAGTTGTAAAATAAAAAAAACAAGAAAGCCAAACATAAAGAAATTGAAAAACCTGAAATGTCAATAAATCGAAAATTCGAAAAATCGAAAAATTATACACTGAAAAATAAAAAAATCGAGAAATTGAAGAATCGAAAAATCGAGAAATTGAAAAACTAAAACATCGAGTAATCAAAACAACAAAAGATCAAGAAAACGAAAGAGGAGAAGTTGAAAAATCGAAATATTGAGAAAACGAAAAATCAAAAATTTTAAAAATCGAAAAATTGAGAAGTTGAATACTTGAAAAACCAAAAATTCTATAAATCGAAAAATGCAAAAAATTTTAAAATCGAAGAAACGAGTTGTCAAGAAATCAAAAATTCAAAAATCGAGAAATTATACACTGAAAAATTAAATAAAAGGAAATAGAAAATTTAAAAATCGAAAAATCGAAGAATCGAAAAATCGAGAAATTGAAACATCGAAAAACTGAAAAACTAAAACATCGAGTAATCAGAACAACAAAATATTGAGAAATCGAAGGAGAAGCTGAAAAATTAAAACACTGAGAAAGCGAAAAGTAGAAAAAAATTTAAAAATCGAAAAATCTAAAAATTTTAAAAATCCCAAAATCGAGTTGTCAAGAAATCAAAAATTCGAAAAATCGAGATTTAAAAAATCGGGAAATCGAAACATCCAAAAATCGTAAAATCAAAACATCGAAAAAAGTAAAAAAAAAATCAAAAAATCAAAAATTGAAGAATTTTAAAAACGAGACATCGGTAGATAGAAAAATCCAGAATTTAAAAAAATTAAAAATCGAAAAAGTGAAAAGCCGGAAATTCGAAAAAAGTTGAAAAATAAAAAAAAACAAGAAACCCAAACATCGAGAAATTGAAAAACCTGAAATGACAAGAAATCGAAAACTCGAAAAATCAAAAAATTATACACTGAAAAATAAAAAAAATCCGGAAATCGAAAATTTAAAAAATCGAAAATTGAAGAATCAAAAAATAGAGAACTTGAAACATCGAAAAACTGAAAAACTAAAACATGGAGTAATCAGAACATCAAAAGATCGAGAAATCGAGAAATCGAAAGTGGAGAAGTTGAAAAATTGAAACACTGAGAAAGCGAAAAGTAGAAAAAAAATTAAAAATTGAAAAACCCAAAAATGTGAAAAATCCCAAAATCGAGTTATCAAAAATTCGAAAATCGAGAAATTATATATTCAAAAGCTAAAAAATCGAGAAATATAAGCATCAAAAAATCGTGAAATCAAAACATCGAAAAAAGTAAAATTAAAATACCGAAAAATAAAAAAATCAAAAACTGAAGAATTTTCAAAACGAGAAATCGGTAAATAGAAAAATTCAGAATTTAAAAAAATTGAAAAATCGAAAAAGTGAAAAACCGAAAATTCGAAAAAAGTTGAAAAATAAAAAAAAACAAGAAAGCCAAACATCGAGAAATTGAAAAACCTGAAATGGCAAGAAATCGAAAAACTCGAAAAATCGAAAAATCGAGAAATTGAAAAACTAAAACATTGAGTAATCAGAACAACAAAAGATGGAGAAATCGAGAAATCGAAAGAGAAGCTGAAATGTCAAGAAATCGAAAATTCGAAAAATCGAAAAATTATATACTGAAAAATAAAAAATCCAAAAATTTAAGAATCGAAAAATCGAGAAATTCAAAAACTAAAACATTGAGTAATCAGAACAACAAAAGATGGAGAAATCGAGAAATCGAAAGAGAAGCTGAAAAATTAAAACACTGAGAAAACGAAATGTAGAAAAAAATCGAAAAATCCAAAAATCCAAAAATTTTAAAATTCCAAAATCGAGTTGTCAAGAAATCAAAAATTCGAAAAATCGAGATTTAAAAAATCGGGAAATCGAAACATCCAAAAATCGTAAAATCAAAACATCGAAAAAAGTAAAATTAAAAGACCGAAAAATTAAAAAGTCAAAAACTGAAGAATTTTAAAAACGACAGATTGGTATATCAAAAAATACAAAATTTAAAAAAATTGGAAAATGGGAAAATTGAAAAATCGAAAAACTTTTAACTGAAAAATCGAAAATTACTAAAAGCTGAAAAATCAAAAAAAAAACAGAAAATCTAAACATCGAGAAATTGAAAAACCAAAACATCAAAAGATCGAGAAATTGAAAAATTGAAAAATCTACAATTTAAAAAATCAAAATATGAATATATCGAAAAATTGAAAAATCCAGAAATCGAAAAATTAAAATGCTGAAAATTTGAAAACTCGGAAA